CGTCGCTTTCTCTCATCAGATCCTGGATTCACTGATATATCCACGACTGTTTGTGGGACACTGTTGTGCGCAATTGGCTGCCGCGATTCGTCTACAAAATATACAGTCACCACACTTTACAGCATATTCTGTGAAGCGCTTTGAGACGTCTTGAAGACGTGATAAGTTGCTATATCAAATGCAAGGATTATTATTATTATATTCTTTAAAAAGCACAGCACAGTCTCCTCTATCTCTGTTTGTTCTAACACAAACCCTGTCAATCCCAGCTCTGACTGGCTTGTCTAATGTACACTGTGAGTCCAGAATAAGATGGAGAAATAATACAAACCTATTCTCTAATCCCCAAATAACAGTGAAACGGTCTTTTTTCTGTCAACAATTGCTAGCTAATATAAAAACGGACTCCCTGCCTTGTACTCCATCTGTCCAGGAGGAAATGTTCCTGAGATTGAGTCAATAAGGCAAAATTGATGGGTGGAGCACAGAGATGATATCCCAAAGGCATTGCCTGCAATTGTTTGGGATTAATTGCACCTCTAATGACCCTCATGACATTCACTGTGATCTATTTGCCAGCAGGTCTATGGAGGCTGAGTTGTGATTTATTGCAGACAGAACTAGTTGGCTGCTGTCTGCAGCCCAAGCTACACACTGCAAATCAATGCAATGCTACACCTCATGCTCATCTGGCTGAATGAAATAGTTTCTCATTCCCAGATAAAAACCTTTCTGACTGGACTGCATTAAGTTACATGATGTACAGTGATTTTTAGTTAATGGGAACCCTGCATGTGAGGGATGTGTCTGCTCTCCAGGTACAGAGCATTGTGCACAGTGACATGATATGCTGGTTGCCTTCTCTGTACAGAATGAGGGTGAGACAGAGGGATGTCTACAGATCTGTCAGAGTACATGTAATCTTAGAGAATAATATTCTTGTGCTGCAGGTGAGACACTTAGTAGAAAAACAAGATCTGCAGCAGAGGTGATCATAATTCTTACATTACATCAAAATACGTTGAAGCTTCACAGGGAATTGCTATTAAGTGTAGTGATTGTTTTCTTGGCCAGTGTTACAGCTAGTTTGCAAACTGCAAATAATAATAATCCTTGCATTTGATATAGCGCTTTTCACGTCGGGAGGACTTCCCAAAGCGCTTCACAGAACACACTGTAAAGTGAATTGACTGTATATTTGTGGGCGAACGCGGCAGCCAATTGCGCACAGCAATGTCCCACAAACAGTCGTAGATTGAAAATGACCAATTTATTATTGTTTTTTGGTTTTTGGAGGATTATTATTAGGCTCTGTGTGGAGTAAGAAAACTTGCCCAAGGTTTCGCCCTCTGCCTGGAATTGAACTCAGGTCACCACTGAGCTACAGGACTCCACGAAGTCCCACAAGAATGATAATAATAATAATCCTTGCATTTGATGTAGCGCCTTATCACCTCATTGAGATGTCTCAAAGCGCTTCACAGAATACACTGTACTGTAAATATACTGACTGTATATCTTTGTGGGTGAAATAATCAATTTTATCCGGGGGATTGTTTGCCAGGACACCGGGAGAAACTCGCTTCTCTTTTCAAACAATGCCACAGGATCTTTACCATTCATAAGAACAAGCAGATTGGATCTCAGTTTCATCTCTCAGCTGAAGGAAGGCACTTCCAACAATGCTGGAGTGCCAGCCTGGACTGTGAACTCATAAAGTCTCAATACAGGGCTTGAACCCACAATCTTTTTGACAAAGAGGCAGGGCAGTACCATCTGCCCCCGGCTGGCGCAGCCTGGTGGAGATCAAGTGACAGAGAGTAACACAAGGAAGGAAAAGGGTTGGATGACTGATTCCACGGATATCAGTTTGCGTGCTGAGAATCTCCTGGCAGTGCTCAGCCTGGCATTTCCTAAGCCGACCCACCCTGGAGTGCCTTGGAGCATGAATCGTGCAATGATACAGCACAGAATTTGGCCATTCGGTTTATCAAGGCTTTGAAGCTGCATTGCATCTCTCAGCCCCGAGGCTCTGGAACTCCATCCCCAGTGCCTTCGCCGCTTCCTCCCTCTCCTCCTTCAAGGCCGGTCTCAAAACCTTTCTCTTTGACCGAGCCTTCAGCTCCCCTCTCGACTCTCTACCCCCTGCTCGCTCCCTCCCCTCACCATTTCCCCCCTCCTCGCTCCCTCCCTTCCCTCCCCTCACCCTGACCATTTCCCCCCTCCTCTCTCCCTCCCTTCCCTCCCCTCACCCTGACCATTTCCCCCCTGCTCGGGTCATGACCCAACTGTGCAGCGCCTTGGGACGTCCTCCTGACGTGAAAGGCGCTTTATAAATGGAATCTTGTTGTTGTTGTTGCAAGCAGCAGGAAAGCTTGCCGGACAGCAATATCAATGCGGTTTTAGTTGGTTAGACTCCAGCAGTTACCCCAAAGCGCACTCAGAGGTCCTCAAAGCCTTGGCTCTTGCCAATCTGCACCTTATACAACAACAAGATTCCATTTATACTCTCCAGAATTAGGTAAACAAGATGCGAGTCTCGAGGGAAAGAGTCACATTCCATTCCAATAAACCATATCTGGGATTTCCATGTGTAGGTGGGATCCATGGAATTCTCAGTTTGGTTTGGATCCTCTTAAGCACGATGATGGGTTTCTGCATGAATCTGACCCTCCCACCAAACAAAATGCTGCATTACAATAACGCTGATTGATAAAACCATATTGATCCTTTTACAAGCTGTGGCTCATAGCTTGTGAGCCTAAATTCTAGTAAAGCACAGATGCAACCAGATGGATAGATGCCCAGAGGTACATTAGAAACTTTTCCCAGCCTTTGAATGGCAGTGGAAATGTGTAGAGGCTGACAACGTGTGAAACAGGTGGAGTAAAGGGGGCAGATGGAAATGGTTCTCTCCAGGCCTGATATAAATATCCCTTAAAAAGATTCTCTGCTGAAAGTAAATAAAGAACGACCTTCGCATGCTCAAGAATAATTTCCCATATGAGAGGTTTCCATGGCAACGAGCGGAATAGTCCAATGTAGAGCAGTAAATTGAAAGGTAAATTGCTCAGTGCAATTCTTTTGCAAGAGAAATCCTTTCCTGTCTATTAGCAATAGGATTGTGTCGTGTTCATTTGTTCTTCTTGGTGTCAGGGAACATGGGCAAATATCACAGTGCAATCTCCATTCTGTTATACCTGTCTGCCTTTATCAGGAGACTTAGCTTAAATGTTTTAAAGGTACAATTGTATAACAACTTGATTCTGATCCAATAAGGCTTGTGGCTGGATATTTAGCAACGAGTTACAAGGTAGAAACTGTTACAAGGGAATAGATACTCACACAGTAATAATCCGTGCATTTGATACAGCGCCTTATCATATTGTCGAGACTTGGAGGGAGAGCGCATTCCGGTCCAACAATCTATCTCTGGGATTTTCATGTGTAGGTGGGTGGGATGCATGGAATTCTCCGTTGGGTTTGGATACCCTTAAGCATGGTGATGTGATGGGTCTCTGCATCTGTCAGACACCCGGTTGACCCCAGAAACATTGAGGCTTGTAAAAACACTTTACAGAATTTACTGTGAAGTATAGTGACTGTGTATTTTGTGGGTGAATGTGACAGCCGTTTTGTGAATGTCTCACAAACAGCTATGAAATAAGTGAAGTAAGTGAATGACCAAGTGACTCAGTGGATATCCTAAAATGAATCACCGGCTGCAATTTAATCAGGCGGGGATTGTTTTATGTATGAGATGGATCCTTGAAAGTAAGTTACAAACTGCGATCTAATCGAGGGGTTGGGGATTTTTCTATATAGAATAACAGCTTGGAACCTAATCAAGGCTTTCAGGGAGTTTAAATGTAGTCTAATCATACATTCTGATGGTTTCTGTACAGTAAAAAACAGACCTTGCGATCACCAGAATTCTCACAATATGCAAAACGGCACTTTAGTCCAAATAATTTTATTTGGTGGCTTGCTGGTCAGGGCACAGCCCCACCACACCTATTGCACCCCTCGATTCACATCCAAAATCTATGTGGCAGAGCTTGGGGAAGGAGGGGGGGTGACCGTAAGCATGGTCAAAGAGGAAGGTCTTAATCGTGATCGGAAAAAGGGGCAGGAGGGGGGCAAGGTGGAGGGATTGAGGGAGAGAGCTCCAAACTTTAGGGGCATAGTGTTTGAAAGCACACCCGCCGATTGTGGAGTGGAGGGGGACGAAGGACAAGCAGGAGGCCGGAGCCAGCTGAACCAAGGCGACTGGCTGGCTCTGGTGGTGGAGTGGGGAGTAAACAGGTTGGAAATAATAATAATAATCCTTGCATTTGAGACAGAGCCATATCACGCCATTGAGCGTCTCAAAGTGCAAAATATATTGTAAAGTGCAGTAACTGTACATTTTGTAGGTGAAACGCGGCAGCCAATAGTGCACAGCAGTGTCCCACAAACAGTCCTGGATTGACTGACCAAATTATTATTATTTTATTACCCCTAGAAATTCTTACACCCGGAAAAGCGACATTGTGTAATTTGTGGGTGAAATGGAAAGGTAGGCAGGTGTCAGGGCATTAAGGGATTTGTAGAGGAGTTGAGAGGATCAAAGTCGATGCATTCTGTGATAGGGAGCCAGTGGAGCCTGGAGAGGACTGGGGTGAAGGGGGTTAGGATTTAGAGCAAATGAGTATACGGCGGTGGAGTTCTGAATTGGTTGGATTTTGCGGATAGTGGAGCTGAGGAGTTCAGCGAGAAGGGCATTGGAATAATCGAAGCTGGAGGTACTGAAAGCTGTATCAAATGCCAGGATTATTATTAACTTCAATGCCATAATAATAACAATCCTTGTATTTAATATAACGCCTTATCACGTCGTCGCGACGCCTCAAAGCGCTTCACAGGAAGTGTAGTTACTGTGTGTTTTGTGGGTGGAACACCATGTGGATTATGTACACCTAAAATGCAGTAAAATCAGAGGCTGTTGCTTTTTTTTCCAGATTGAACCAAGCTCCAACAGTGGGCTTTGAGGCAGATGTGGGCAGGCGCACAACTCACCATTTCATGTACCCAGAGAGTGCCAAAAATCTCCCAGCCAACGTCAGCTTTGTTTTGGTCCCCTTCAAGATACTGGACCTGCTGTGGATTACTAGCGCTCTCTCAACGGGTCAGATCCGATTGTAAGTACTCAACCTCCTTTTCAGTGCTCTGAGGGGAGAGGTTTCTGTTGTGCAGAGAATGTAGTTTTGTTGGAACTCATCTTAGGGTATATTTCTCCCAAATCATTTTTCGGGTCCCCTTGGTTTCCATTAGAGTAAAATTTGCAAAAGTCTTATCTGTTTGAATTGTATAATTGCCTAAGTCGTATATCCACCGAGTCCCGTTCAATTACCTATTAAATCTACTTAAATTTATCTGCATTAGTTGTATTCATTACCTCGTATCTCGTAACGTGCCAACCACACTGCACTTACCAGCTACCAGGTCAAAGCCTTGTTACTCACAGCTGCCTGGAACACCAGACGTGTAATACCAACATCATCAAGCACAGCAGCGCGGGGGGGAAGGGGGGCGAAGGGGCTGAGAGAGATCAGAACGTCAGCTGATTGAGCTGGTGAGCGCAGGGGGTCCTTCGTCTCATGCGCACTCACTGGCCTGAAAGCAGCTCACACGGTTTTGCAGTAGGGAGCGGATGTGCTGAAATGCTGACTGACAGAGCTAGCCTTACTACACCCCTCCAGCCAGTCTCCACGTGAAACAATGGTGGGAGCCAGTCTTGCGCGCTAACAGCTGAAATGTTGAAGTCTGCATGCGCAGTACAGGCAGAGCATGAACAAGTACGGGACACAGGATTTTGACCAGTCATCATCTCACCAGGCAATACAGATTTCCCCAATTCATCCCACTGCAAAACCAGTTGCTGGCATGTCTGCTGAAGTGACTGAGTGCGTTACTCCGCTCCTCACACTGAGGACTCAGTGCCTGGACTCCCCAAAGCTCCTCGGACCCACTTCCGAGCACTCCGTAAGTGTCACATCATGTTACTGTCTTGACCCAGGTGCCACCCTGAGCAATTCTAATCTGCTGACGGGAATTTTCAAGACCATCCGAAGTGGGCGGATTGGACAAGGACTATAACACTGCGGCTGTGACAAAGCCCCGCGTGAGGCAATGGCATCTGGCCTACACTCACTCAGTTCCCACACGGTTTACCCTTAAGAAAAGGTACAGAATTTCACAAGCACGTGAAAGACCAACGCACAGAATAAAAGGGGATGCAGTCACTGAGATTCCCCATTAAAACATTCGGCCACAAAATATACAGTCAATTCCTTTACAGTGTAATGTGTGAAGGGCTTTGAGACATCTGAATGGTGCGATAAGGGATTATTATTATTTAATAAGCGCTCTGGGACGCTACCTCGTGTAAAGGGCACTGTATAAATGCAAGTTGTTATTATCTAGTGTTTGATCATGGAAAGGTACAGCTCAATTTCACCATTTATCTCGTGAGTCGGTTTGGAATAGGAACATATGAACAGGAGTTTGACATTCAGCCCGTTGAGCCTGTTCCGCCATTTAATTAGATCATGGCTGATCTATATCTTTACTAGAATTTCAAATCCGATTTCCCGTTTTCTCCCTGTATCCCTTAATACCCCGACCAACCAAAAGTTGCTGAGTCAATGACACACACACTGAGAACAAACAGATTATTAAATAGTGACCCTTAATCTTCACAATCCCCTTAGAGTTGGGTAGCAGGACCTTTTCTCACAGTGATTTTAAACAAGCCCTTCATTGTCCCAACATTTCTGCATAAAAACCATTCGATTTTCTCATTCAAACTTGACTCCGAACTTTTTTTTACTCGTGACACATATTTTAAAACATCCTTGCATTTGATGCAACACCTTTGGTGGATTTCTGCAGGACGTCTCAAAGTGCTTTACTGGATATACTATAAAGTCGAGTAACTAATTTGTAGGTGAACGCAGCAGCCAATTCACAACGTTCCACAGACAGCCACAAAGTGAATGTCTTCACTTTATCTGGGGGATTGCTGGCCAAGACATCTTCCTCAAGGAACTAACTCATTGTAACTAAATGAGCTGGCAATCCACTACAGCCTCCTTTTTCATTAAGAGTGGAATTTACAACCTCCCTTGTAACATTTAGCATGAATGGTTAACCACATGCTTCCTGCTGTGGAAAGTCTGTGCTGGCATTGTGTAGTGAAGCTGACTGGCTGGAGGAGTGCAGTAAGGCCAGCTCTGTGAGTCAGCATTTCAGCACGTCCGTTCCCTACTGCAGAGCTGTTCGAGAGAATGAGACTGGCTTGTCAATGAGGAGGGATGATGTGTGAGCTAGATATTGAGTGTCGAAGGGCTATCTGACTTTGCAGAATAAATCCAATCTAAATCTTGCTCACTTGCCACACATACACACACACACACACAAATACCCTTGCCAGCTGGTAGCAATCAGGAACAGAGACGTTTTCTCCTCCCTTGCCCCACAGGTTCTGAGTTCAGTCTGTAAGAAAGTCCAATTTATAATAATAAAAATCGTTGCATTTGATATAGTGCCTTATCACGTCATCAAGACGTCTCAAAGCTCTTCACAGGGTATACTGTAAAAAGGATTGACTGTATTAAACCGAAAGAGAGAGCCTCTATTAGTCCTGGTGATGTGCTAGAACCATCACATTATGGCATAGGAAATATGAGCATAAAGAGAACAGGAAAGGGTTATTCAGTTAATCCCTCCACAGCCACACAGAACATATCTGCTGGAAAAAGTTCAATGGAAATACTCCCTAATCCCCAAAGAATCCATCAACTGTATCAATCAATCTTGGCTTTCTTCTCTCCGCAGAGAACATCCATTCCCTGCCGACTCAGCAGTACAGAGAGGATTGTGATGTTTGTGTAACCTTGATGTCTAATAGGCATTTTGGCAGTGTACTGAGTCCTGTCTGGTTTCACTTCAGTCTGGACCATAATTTCTACAAGTGACGACTTTGAACAGCTGTGCAGCAAACTAATACTTTTCCAGTTACAGCAATTTCTACGATTTATCCTGAGCGACCACTTACACACACACATCTGCTCATCCATGCAGTTACCCCACCCCTGTCTGACCAGCCTCCTCTAACCCACCTGTGCCTCTCATTGCAGCACGTATGCACCGGTCAAACAATTTCTACGCGTGGACAAAGACAAGGTGAGTCCAAGTCACATCTAACTCACTGGGTATTTATTTCAGTGGGCTGGGTGTTTATTTTGGAGTGTTGGGTATTTATTTCAGCATGTCTACTGTTTAATGGTGCGTCTGGGATTTAATGCTGATTATTATTTTGGTGTTGTCATTTACTTTTGTATGCCTGGTGTTTTATACCAGATGTTTATTGTGTCTGGAGATTTTGCCAGGTATTATTTTGGTGTTGGGTATTTTTAGTGCATGGGGAGTTAGCTGGAGCCAAGTGTATTGAGGACCCATGGTTGCAATCCTGACATCTTGTGAGAATGATACAGAGATATTAAAAGTTCTCATAGCTTAATGCATGCTGCAGCAACTCAGCTTTGTGAGGGGTAAGGGGACATACAGAGTCTGAATGAAAGAGTTGAAAGCCTGGATATGAAGGGGCTGTAATCGATAGGCAAATTAAACCAGTCCTTATGATTGTTTGGCTATTTGTAACTTCATCTATTCAATGTGCGAGAACTTTGTATATGAGAGGGCAGGGTGACGTTGCTGTGCTGTGGTAATCTGACCACACATTGCTGACGTTGGCCAGCCAGGCACTGGAATCTTACTCATAATTAAAAGGGGACAATAAACCTACTGTCCAACGTCAGGGGGTGAGCTTTGGCCGACTGATGCACCTTAAAAGAATTTGATTGTGGTGGTCTCTTTCCAACAACAAAATCACCAGCAAAATCAATTTGCTGGTGATTTTGTTGTTGGAAAGAGATGTGTCTAATGCAGCATCTTCTGGTCACTGAGATGGGAAACCAGCAAAGGACAAAGATAGCTAGCAGGCTGGATGTACTTATTTTCTTTTAAACATTCCGCCCCCCCACCCCCTTTGAACTGAGCGATCACCCAGGATCAGATGTAGTTCTCAGAACGGTTATATTTGTGCCAGTAAAATTACTGCCACTTTTCCCTTACTGTGCAATTTTGCTGAATGGTTAAGGAATGCAACAGCACCGCTTGCTGGTCAGGCACCAGCACCATACCCCCGCTGACAACTCGAGAAACTGAGGCTTAGCGCTGGGGCAGCAACAACAACAACAGAATTACATTTGTAAAAGCGCCTTTCACATCAGGAGGACGTCCCAAGGTGCAGAGGTTAGACTTGACCTCCATGGAAATACAGACAAAGAGGGAATAGCTCTCCACTGGATCAACGGAAGGTACTGCCTCTTAAAGCAGCAAATCTCTGTCAGGGTCAGTGACAAAGACTTGTCTTTTGTCAGGCTCATTGACGGGCCAGTATCAGACTAAATTTATATTTTATGGCAAATACTTTTATTCTCAGGGAGACCAGTTTGTAATCTTCCAATTCCAGCCTCTCATCAGCAGCAAATCCTCCTGGTCAGGTTAGCATGGCTTAGTTCATGAATCCCTCTCCTTGTCATCTTGTACATTATCCAGGCTGTTCGGAAGATCACTTCTGGGGATATTAATAATAAAAATCCTTCCCTTTGATATAGGGCTTTTCACGTCTTCTAGACGTCTCAAAGCGCTTCACAGAATATGCTGTAAAGTGAATTAACTGTGTATTTTGTGGGTGAAACGCGGCAGCTGATTGCGCACAGCAGCGTCCCACAAACAGCTGTGACCAAATAATTTCTTTTAAAGGGATTTTTATCCGCCAATCGACTTGATGGATCTTTGAGACATTCTCCTGATGAGAGTGGCACTATGTCAAATGCAAAGGTTGTGATTTACAGACCAGGTTAGGATCATCACTATACATGCAGTGCACAGATATGTCATTGATTTCGCCCACACAATATGCAATCAATTCATAGATTCATAGAATGTTACGGCACAGAAGGAGGCCATTCGGCCCATCGAGTCTGTGCGGCTCTTTGACAGAGCAAGTCACTTTCACTAACCCCAATCATATGCATGGTTGTTACGTAAGGACTGGCAGAGGTTATGATACCCTGGATGATCAAATAACTTAACAACTAATAACTCACTGGCTGATCTCACACACAAAGCATGAGCCTATGATAAGCACCTCAGCTCAAGGACTTGGGGAGAGGGAGAAGCTGTTGATTGAAGAGCTGCTGTGTGAATTATTTTGCTACACAACTGCTGTTCACAATCTAATGTCCTGATCTTCATCCAGGTGCAAATCTACAACCCAGGTTTCTTCAAGTACGTCCACGACAAGTGGACGGAGCATCATGGAAGATACCCGTCCACTGGAATGCTGGTCCTCTTCTTTGCCCTCCACGTGTGTGATGAGGTGGGTACACTCAGTCGCTCGGGAGCAGGAAACGTTGCAGCGATGTGATTGAGAGTGTTACAGGACAGATTAACACCCTACACCAGGCCATACATTGCCTTGGTCACAGCATCACCCCAGTCCTCGCCAGACTCCGCTGACGCCCAGTTACCGAACGGATCAATTTCACAATCCTCTCAATCGGTTTCAAATCTCTTCATGTCCTGGCACCTCCCTAATCCCCACCACTGCCCCCCCCCCCCCACGGCCCCACCCTCTGCCTCCGCTCGGCTAGCTGCAGCCACCTGTTTGCCCCTTGTTCCCTCCGCTCCACCATCAGTGGCCGTGCCTTCATGCTCCAAAACTCTGGAACTCTCTCCCCCAATCCCTCTGCTTTGCCCCCTCCCTCCCTATTTTTAAATCCCGTCTAAAGACCTTCCTTTGTGATGGTGTTTACGGTCACCTCTTCCCTCCCTCTCCCCCTGGCTCGGGGTCAGTCTCCACCACTGTCAAGCGCTCCGGGACACTACCCTGCGTGAGGGGCTCTGTGTAAATATAAGTTGTTGTAGCTGCAATCTCTCTTCAAATTTAGAAACCTGCCGTGTGCAGGAATCATGTGCGACAATAATCAATGCAATGTGGTCCTAACGTCAAAATAAGGGATACCAATTGATGAGGGGGTGGGGGGGTGGAGTTTCATAAAGTACACAGGGGGAAATTATTTCCACGTGTCAGTGAATAGAGGACATCAATTATATGTAGGGGAGCTGTTTCCAACCCAAAGATAGAGTCATTGAAAATAATGATTTGGGCATAGTTAGATCCCTCAAAACAGCCATGAAGAGGAGGAATAATTTTATCTGGTGGATTGTTGGCCAGGACACCAGGAGAAACTCCCGCTGAAAGAATTCTGTTTCTGAATAATGCTAATGGGAGGTCGTGTCCTCTGGTTCTACTGTTCAGTGCAAGGTAAAACAGTTTATCATGGGCTTAATTATCTATTCCCTTCAGATTAGATGCTACAATTACTCACTTTGACACGTTTCAACGTTCCTGGCTCTGGATAACGATTATTCACAGTCTCAGTTCATACATTGGTGAGGCTGGGAAGGAGAGATGGTTGGAATAGTTGGGGGCTCGAGTCTATCAGCTTAAGCTAATCATCCCAGGCCCAGATAGGCCGCAGTCTTACCCATTCCCTTTGCTCTTCTTCCCTCAGGTGGATGTTTACGGGTTCGGAACTGACAACAAGGGGAACTGGCACCACTATTGGGAGAACTACAAGTATGCTGGAGAGTTCCGGAAAACTGGCGTACATGATGCAGACTATGAGGCAAAAATAATAAATTTACTAGCCGCAGCTGGAAAAATTAAAGTTTTCCGAGGAAACTGAAACCCCCCCCACCAAAAAGGATTACAAAATGTGTGGTTCATCTTTCAAGAGGAGAAAGTGGGTCTCAATGTAACCTCACCAGGTGGAGCAAGGATACAAACAGCCCCAAATCATGCACTGAATATAATTTTCTTTCAATCGTGTTTCGAAAGTCAAACGAAACTTTTGTGAGGAACCGGGGAAAAAAAAGCTGCTAATTTGGTTTCGACTCGTGAAGTTCACCAAATCAAAGACGCCAATTACTTGATGGATTGATTGCAAGATGGCCGACACGCAACAAAATGGTGGCCGATGATGGGTAGCTCAATGTGCAATCTGTTACCGTAGAAACTAGTTGTTGCCCAGGATCATTGAACCTTAGAGTTGAGAGGACACTTTACACGAGTCGGCTACCCAAATATCAGAACAGTTCATGGGCGGAGTGGAAGTAGAACTTTTAATTAGCATTTTTTAATATTTTGGTTGAACTCCTGTGGACTTGTTTGAATGGCGTGGTTCTGAACACTGCTTCCTCCCTGAACACTTTTATTCACGTGAGGCTAGGATATAGACAGATGCTTTGCAAAGAGTTTTCCGAGACAAGAAGCTTTTACGTTAATGCCTGAGTAATCCAAATCCCCATGACCTAACCTAATAGCGAAAAGTGCTGAGTCATTCACCTGGGGGCTCCTACAGCTGGCCGTGAGTTGTGTTATAATGCTGTAAAGGAATTCACTCAGAAGCAGCACAGCAGGACCCTGAGCTGTCAATCAGCTGTGAAGTCACTTTTATTTGACTGTGATGTGGTCGCGAATTGTGATTTAATATCCAATCTCTCAGACGTGCTCTGTCTCCAGCCAGTCACGGGCCCTGTATAGACCCTCAGACTCTCAGACCCCAAATCTCAGTAAATCCTGATGGGGCTTTCCAGCTTCTGCTCCTAACCCCTCTCCCAAAAACTAATTTAAATGAGATGCCAATTGTTCTTCAGAAGTTAGTACCAAAACAAAAATGGAGATGAAAAGTCAGGCTGTTGTCTGTGCCCCTTCAGGTTTTTTTACGCTGGGACAGAGTGTAGGTGCAGGAGAAAATTAAACAACATAATTTTCTCGGTGAGGGTATGGAATGAAAATGAGCGCTGGCAGAACAGAACATCCATGACAGATGATGTCTGCCCCCATAGATGGTTATATTTACTCCATCATTTAAACTCCCTTCTTTCTTGCTAGGTTCACTCTTAATATTTCATGTAACACAACCACTAACAACACCAATTGCCTGAACGCCAGACTTTGACATTCTGAACCCTTTAACCCAAACTGAGCGGTTTAAAGAACTGAGGAACTGAGTGTACTGCACAGAACTGAAGATGTACATCGATAAAGTAAAGGACTGACAACTAAAACTTACACTTAGCTAAATGCTGCAAATAAGGCCATTGCCGTATCAAAACCAAACCCTTGTTGATGACAGTGATCAATATTACTTTAGTATTTAACCCAACATTGGCACATTTGTACATTTTAACTGTGAGATCCTGCAAATCAGCTTGTAAGGGCCGAGGGCGGGATCTTTTTTATTGCAACCGTGTTTGGTGGTGTTCCCTCTCCGTGCCCTTGTCACTAGCCACAGGCATTTGGCAAGACACAGCATTCAATAGGTGAGTCAAGTGGCTTCCATCAGAGCACTAAAGCCTGTGAAGGCAAGGAAAGAAGGGCTGAATAATGTAATAACAGCAACAACAATTTGCACTTATTTAGCATCCCTCACGCAGGGTAGCGTCCCAGACAGTTGGCGGAGCATAATGTAGATGTTGGATGGATGACTATTCTCTTTTTTTTGGCAAGAACCTTCAGGGTTTGGGAAAAATTTATACGGGAGATGTGTGGGTTTGACCATGTTAAAGGCTTGAAGTTACGTTACCCTTTAAGAATGGAGAAAATCCCATTCTCCCTCTAACCACCCCCCCCCCCACCCACCCCCCCCCCCCCCAACTCTTCCATTGGAGTCTATAAATTTCCATAAATTGACCTTTCTCAAACCTCTAGACTAATTCTGGCTGCACTTCTAACCTTTTTGATTTAAGCCTTAAACGCCATCTCGAAAGGGCTTACTAGCCTCCTGTATAGAAAATACATCTGAAAAACAAATCAAAGATCACGTGGCATGCCATTGAACCTTGCCATATTGCTTAATTCCTCTCCATCCTGTATACAAGTAGCTTTCTGTTTAAATATTTGTTTTCCTTAGGACTTCATTGATGACCTATCCTTTTGTAAGTCAGCAATTGTTTAAACCTCTCTGGGTTTGATTGTGATGGAGCTTTTTGGAATATGAGAATAGGAGGAAGGAGTTCATGCAGCCCATCACAAGTGCGTTCATGACAGATCTTTTGATCCCATCTCCCCATCATACTTTTGCTTTCCCACATCTATTGCTCTTTTAAGAATCCCATTGGATTTTGCCTCTCCAGTCCTCCAGGGCAGGGTGTTCCACATTTTCACAAACCTCTGTGTGAAGAAATATTTTCTTATTTGACTTCTGTTTTATCTCCAATTTTAAGATGATGTCCTCATGCTTTAGATCTTTCTACGTGTGGGATGAGTGATCCCCTTTCCCGCCATGGCTATTGCCACTCGCTATACCTATTGCCACTCACCATTATTTACTGATTGTTGGTGATGTGCACCTGCAATCAGATTCCCCATTATACTTCAAAGGGCAATAAACACACTGATAAAGGAGAAACCATCTTTTTACTTGTTTAGTAGATGTTTAATAGTGAGTGTAAACTTTGCTGTATCCTATTCCAGCTTTGATTCTGTGAAATACCCCAAAATGTTTGCTTTTCCTAGAGAGGAAAAGCCCCATCATCTTTCCTCAGGAAATTGACAGAGTTGTCAGGAGAGGACGATTTACTTTCTCCATCAGTACAATGTTAATCTAAAACCTGGACATAAGCAGTAATCTGTAGTGTTTCCGACTGTGATTGTTTTCTGCATTTCATGTTCCCAATGTCTGATTTACTCTGGATTTCCTGGTGGATCAAGTCCAAGATAAACCTTAGGCAAGTTTTCTTACTCCCAAGACACACCTCTGTTTACCTAGCAGTAAGTGGTTTGGCGGATCGCTTTCCAGGAGTAATTATCCCATCAAAAAATAATTTGATTACGCAATCCATGACTGTGTATGAGATGTTGCTATGCGCAATTGGCTGCCGCGTTTTGGCCACAAAATACACAGTCACTAGACTTTAGAGTCTATTCTGTGAAGCACTTTCAGATGTCTCGAAGACATACTAAGGCGCTATATCAAATGCAAGGATTATGATTTTATTAATATTACGATTGTAATGTACAAGCATAAGCCTATTCCATGTAAACTGTAAGGCTTCCTCATTAACCCAATTAGTGCTGCGCTGTATTAAGGACTGTGGCAAGATGCCTGCAGTTGGTTTCTGTTTTGCATTATTCAACAGAAGATAAATCCCTTCTGCTCAAATGCAGTTGCAGCCAGTGGTTAGGTGCTCAACATGCAAATTTCACATGTAGAAATGGCTCCTATTCTGTACCTTGGATGGGGGGAGGGATCGAGGGCCTTCCTGTAACAGGCTTAAAAAGCTGGATCTATAACAGGAGCAACATGTCACTGATTCCTGAACGGAGCCACATCCTGTGCAGAAGGCATATTGGACAACAACAACAAATTGCATTTATATAGTGCCTTTCACATCGGGAGGAAGTTCTGTCAGAACGAAAAGAGGAATCAGTATAAAATAGACCCTATTTGTCAGTTATTTTAGGAGGTCATCGTTGGGGAAAGAGACTTGAATCAGCCACGTAATATTGAGGTGGAAGAGTCAGGGAGTTACAGAAAGTAAGAGTTTGTGATTCCAATTAGATTTTGGACTATTGTCACAATGATTGAGAGGGGAAGGCTCAAACCACTGCACATATGATGGGAGGAATCTCCCCAATCATTCAGATTTCACCACTCACATTGGCTTTGGTTTCATCCTGTGGTTTCCTACATCATTTATACATCTTAATTGTCTTTAAAACTCAGGGATATTGGATAACAGAAGTAGGTTTGCATGAATTTGTATATTGAGAGCTATTGTGATAAACATTTGATAGTTTTATTTGGCTTTCATGTGGCTTTTCAGAGTCATCATTTACTTTGCTTAAATGTCTTCACATGGCAGAAGGACTCCTATTATGGCAGTCATTCAGTGGCTTCTCTGGAATTTGTTAATAGGATCAAGGAGGCAAAACCCAGAAAAAGTTGGTTTAGTAGCAATGTTGTATCCAAAGATGCCTCAGTATGCTTTGTGAGCATGACCCTGACACGAACTCGAGTGGTAACCCTTCATTTTATTATTCCAATAGTCCCTTTGTATGATTGGCTCTTCTCTAACATTCAGGTGGAACCCATCAGTACTGAGCATAAAGTATGTGACATCAGAGTGTTTTGTGTATGAGCTACAGGTGTAAATTGAGAATGGCAATGGTGGAACAGTGGGTTAGCACTTTCACCTGTGGGATTTGGGATTGCTTCCAGGCTGAAACCCACCCTGTTCATTATGTGCAAGAGTCTGGTGTGAAACTGAACAATGATCTTGTTTTCAAATGGCTGATTATGTAGAAAACTATACTGCCTCCAGTGATGTATATTTAATGCCAAATCTTAGAAATCATCATCTTCCCACTACATCTTTGATATGAGGAGAGACCTTTAACAATTTGCCCTGAAGACTGATGGAAAGAGATCAGTGTAAGATAGACACCTCCTTAGCTTCCATGTAAGGGAAGTGAGAAAAAGGAGACAAATGAGACTCTCGAATCAATCATGATTTAGATTGCAGTGCTCAAACTATTTCAGCTCTGTCAGCACTCATCCTCTCCTGCAAGTGCCATTGAAGGCAAGTCCACAGGTGCATTTAGATTCGCTTTGGACAGTGGAGCTCTTATTTTTGCATGTATTTGTTAATTTTTTTTAAATTGAAGATCCAAATGATTGGATTCAGATCCCAGTAAATTTTAGACCATCAAACAGGAGTGGGTTAAATAAATGAAGTGTGAAACAAAGGTAAGCATGTACACATCAATGGAACATTTGTGTTTTTTACTAGAAAATGAAGGTTCCCTTTTTATTTTAATAGGTGTAGTATTTGAATCATGTTTCCTTTCCTGCATTATTGCTTCAGAAGTCACAACTTTATACCAATAAGTCAAACAAAAGGATCAGCTTTTATAATAATAATTTGGTCACTCAATCCACGACTGTTTGTGGGATGCTGGTGTGCGCAATTGGCTGCTGTGTTTCACCCACAAAATAGTCAGTTCACTTTGCAGTATATTCTGTGAAGTGCTTTGAGACGACTCAAAGATGTGATGAGGTGCGATATCAATGCAAGGATTATTATCAGCTTTTCTTTTGTGTGAGTATAACTATTTAATCTCAATCACAGTGCCTTGATTAGTATTGGTGACTGAGCTCTGTACTGTCAACCATGTATTTCATTCATACTGAGCTCTGTATAGTCAATTGTATTTCAAGTTCATAATTATGCTGATTTTTTTATTGTTGTCTCCAATTCCCTTTTCAGGGTAAGGGGCTACTGCATTTTATTCCATTAACTTTGCACACAGGTTTAAATAGCAAAAAAAAGAAAGATTGTTGCATTTGCTCTGCAAATACTGTAGACTCCCAAGTGTGCAACCATTTCTCTGAATTGTTTTATATTGTGGGAGATAGTTAGTAAAGTGTTTATAACAGAATATGACAAAATAAATTTAAAGGGACATCAGCACCTGTGTCATTTGGTGGTATGTATTACATAAATGATCCATTTGACCCAAGAGAAGTGATTTGTGCAATAATCCATTATGTTCATACATTCTTAAAATCAAACACTCTAAGTGTACAAATTACTGTGTAAATGTCTGGTGTAGTTAATGTCTATTGAAAGCAGTTCACCTTTAAAGGGCTTGTAATGGTTTGCTGCTTTGAGTAAATTAGGGGAGGAATTGAAGTAATTTAGTGAAACGGGGGTTTAGTTTGAAAGCAGGTAGTCAGTTTGCAAAAAAAATGAAATAAAGTGGACTGTAGGAAGGATGTCAGGATCCTGGAGAGGGTGAAGAGAAGATTTACAAGAATTATACCACAGAGACTGGGATTATTCTCCCTACAGCAGAGAAGCTTGAGGGGAGATTTAATAGAGCTGTTCAAAATTATGAGCGGTTTTGATAGAATAGTTAGGGAGAAACTATTACCACTGGAAGGTTGGTCAGTAACTGGTATTGACAGCTAGCTCCCTGCAATCCAGGCATTAATCTACCTCTCTGCAAACAGTTAGAAGCTTATAATTCCACTTGTTTTTCTGGATCCATCTCAGGGCACATGGCAGCTAAAAGGCTGAGATGCTGACAGGAAGATAAAGCTAAATAGTGGCAAGTTCAGCTATGAATAATGTCTTCAGTGTCATGCAGAACAGTTTTAAAATGCAGACAGTACTTTAGTACTGAGGAGCATTTCTGGTGGAATAGTTAGAAAACAGGAATATTGAGTGAGTTACCCCTGCTCTAAAATTGGAATAGTCCCTATTCCAGTCAGCCAATTTACATCAGATCAGGATTGAATCGGGGGCTTTGCTGACTGAATTCCATTTAGCAGAATATAAATCATAAGTAGTTCTTTGCACTTAAGTGGATACTGTGGTGAACCTGAGAGCCAATCTGCTTTTACCTGTGAGCAGCACACAAGATTAGACACAGTACATTAACTCAAAAGAGAAGTGTACAATCTGCTTTTACTGAAGTTTTGAAACAGGGCACAAATGTCTTCCAGATGAGCCATTTAATAGGTTACATTTAATGATATAACTTCTTGTACAGGACAAAGCCGATTAATGCAAAACAGATTACACTTCCAGTTATCGAGAGAGAGAGAACCATCACCATATTATCAGCACCTAGAGAAATACAAGCAGACATTTACCAAATAGCATTAGAGTGGCTATCAGCTGAGCAGCCTAGTGAGCCTTTGAAGTTTCTAGGCTTGGCTGGATGTACATTCTTCCATTTGGCATTTCCTCAGCTATAGATTTCTTGGAATTTCCAAGGATTCATTGGAAATCTGGCTTTGTTTCCCACATTGCACAGTAATCCCTGTGCTCCTGTACAGTCATGCCATGTGGCAAAACCACAGCTTTGGCAGGCACGTTAAGTACTCAAAAGTTTAGCTGAACTGAGCCTGTAAAGTACAAGGATCCAACTTGTGTATGGAGCTTGTCAAACCCAGTTATGTTCTTTGTGGTCATGAGAATTCCTACATTTTCTGATAGAAAGTGGTCTTAACAAGTCTCAGGAGATCTTGTGCAGCCCCACATTCTGATTACCAGTTGGCAGCTTGGATTACATCAAACTGTCCACAACTACAATCCTACTTAATTCCTGGGAAAAATAAGATTCCACATCATGGCTGTTTTGGGACACACTGCACAAATTGGCCCTATTCACTCAGTCATTACACTTTACAATAAGCACATAGCTCTTGATATTTGTTGTGATGAAAGACTCAAATGCAAGGATTTATTTTCAGATGGGTAGCCTCAATAGGCACATAAATAAGTAAAAAAGTTGACGAAAGTACATTTATCATTCAGGTCAGAAGGACATCAAGACACTCCATACAATTGACTGGGAATATGAAGGTGGGTGGCGGGGGGGGGGGGAAAGAAGCTTAATGGAGGGAATTTGATAAAGGCGGTCAAACTTTGCAAAGCAGAGAGGGATGGACTCTGGGATAAAGTTCCAAAGAGCAGAGCAAAGGCTCAAACTCACCCTATGATTATGAACAGAGTATGTCTTATGGACAGGCTGGTATTTGCTGAGCAAGGTTAGAGGTAGGATGAGACCATGAGAGGAGAATGAGAATCTTGAATTTGAACCTCTGGGGTAAGTGGGGAGTCGAGCAAGGCAAGGATATGGATGACAGCTTGTGTAAAGAACTAATTCCCAATTACAATCAACAGCCAAAAAAATGGCATGTGTGGCAAGTCACATTGCCATCTGGAGGAAGGGGACATTGGTTCCTCTGCACTCAGTATGCAATCCAATTCCAGTCTTGAAAGTGACCCAATTCTAAGATTAATGGAAAGCTATAAACACAAGTAAACAATTTAAGCTCACCACACCATTGTGTGGGGCTTGCATTTCTTCAAAAGGGCATTTACCTTTGCGCCACTAAGTTACTAGTTGAATTGAAAGCTTTCTATAGATCTTTGCATTAAGATCCAGCTTACCTTCAGGAAGATGTTCCACAGCATCATGGATATCCATATGGTATGAATCATCTAGTGACAAAGCCATTACTGGCTTCTGGTCCACATAATCCTGTACAATCAGGGGTCCCAGAACTGAACTGCCTTCCCATTCTGTTAAGAGAAACCAGAGTTTGGCTTTCAGTGACTTGCACCAAACGGAAGTTTAATATCAGGAATCTCATGTGGTAACAGGAATATACTACCACAAGGTTCTTCAGAACAATCATGTAGCATAGTAGGTGGTATACAGCATTTAATATACAACTGTAACCAGGTGTTAAATATGAACATCTTTGTGAAAGGACAGATAGGAATTTACCAGACTGCCTAGGTGTCATCCGCCATCTCCTGGTTTCACCTCTTCTGGACAGAAAGCCACAGGTACCACTGTCACAGCAATTACAGATGTCTTCAGTCCCATCCACTGGAATCCACCTGATCATTTACATCATTAGAATATGTGTAGGCTTCACATGTGAGGTTAGACACTTTTGCCCACAAAACAGTCACTGCGCTTTACAGGATATTCTAAAACTGTGAAGTGTTTTAGGACATCCTCACAACATGGTTGGAGAAACTAAAACCAGGGGTCACAACCTTAAAATCAGAGCCAGTCCTTTCACACGGAGTTGAGGAAGAACTTCTTCACTCAAAGGGTGGTGAATGTATGGAACTCACTACCCTAAAGGGCTGTTGATGCTTAGTCCTTGAACATATTCAAGACTGAGATAGATAGATTTCTTATTGCAAAAGGGATATGGGGATAAGGCAAGGTTAGGTTATTAGCTAGATTAGAAGATCGGCCATGATTGAATGGCGGGGCAGGCTCGAAGGGCCGAATGGCCTACTCCTACATGTTATATTAAAGGTGCTATACCAAGTGTGAGCATTACCCAGTAGAAGTGTGACTTACTTTGCTGAAGCCTTTTCAAAGGAACAAGCCTTGTTGAGCTCATTAGGCAGCTGATCGACAGTAGACACCTTCAAGTCACAATGTAGGTAGATCTGGAATGGGCACAATTTATGGCCATGTATTCCAGGTCAGGGTTGCAGGTCATTCTAATTCACTAAACTATCGTGTCTCTTATTTAAGGAGGCACTGCACAATTACTCAGAAAGCAGTGCAACATTGCAAGTCATATCCAGCATTAAATAACCATTAGTAATTTGGGTTTATAATTGAACACCTACCATGTTTCTTTCATCTTTGTAGAATTTGAAGGTATCCAGTGTAAACTGCAATCGATTCATCTCCAATCGTGACATTAGGAAGGAAGAGGCTGTACCTTCAGCCTTACTGTCCAACAGACACCTGTAGACATGTAAAGAACAAGGGATTAAACAGCCATCAGTGCTTTACAAGACAAGTTCGCAGTTACCCAGTGAAGACGCATCCAATATAATTGTACAAGATCTTACCCATTGTAGTCAATGACTGAATATTTTACATCAGTGGTCTTAAGTGCTGTAGGAGTAGCAACACATCGGTCTATATAGAGCCTCAATGGTAGGACATTGCTGGTCTCCACAGCTGCCTCAATGTGAAGAAGATCACCCAGGATGTATACATTGGATGTTCGCTCTCTACTCCAGTCATCTGCACAGAGGTTTGAAAGTTTGTTGAAACCATAAACTTGAGTCAATAATGAGCAGCAATTAGCTCGACTGATCCAGCCACTCCCTTTACTCAGCAAACACAGCCTGCTTCCTCCAGCTGTGCTATGTGCCTCACTGTTAGTGGGCAAGCTTTCAGGCATTCTGACCCTGCTTCCTGGAACTCCAGTGAGTACCTCCAACTCAGCACACATTTCCAGTGCCCCACTTTGACCACACTTGTAGTAATTTACCCCCCTTTCCGGTTCATCCAGCTCAGGTGTCCATCCAGCACCATCACAAGGTTGGTCTGGATAAAGGCCCTTTGGCTCATCTGATCTTATCCTTCATACTTGCCTTTCTGTCCCATCACTACACCATTTTTTAAAAAATATAAAATGAGTCTAGCCTAGCCTAGCCTCTACCCCCTTTCCTGGTAACCTGTTCATCATTGATCATCCTCTAAAGAGATTTCCTGCCATCAGTCCTGAAAAATTGCCCTTTACAATTCAATAAAGCACTTTGAAACATCTTCCCAACACGATAGGTACCATATAAAATTAAAGAATCCACTTTTGCTTTGCTTTTAAAGGCATTGCCAACACTAGCGGATGAGGTGATAAAACAGTTCAGTTAAATGTAATTCACATCTGAACTGAAACAAGTTACTAAACCGACTCCCTTCAATAACAGGGTTTACTATAACATCTTAGGATGAGCTCAAATGACAGTGGGTAATGAGGTTCAGAGACACAGGCAAAGTGTGTGTCTTTGCCACCTCTGGCTGCTAGAGGGAGATTCTATATCCACTCTGGCTAGTTGTGAATTTGAGGCCAATATATAAAAATAGAGAACAGATACAGCTCTTGCTGCATTTTATGCCCCGCAGTATTAGACAGTAAGAGGGCTTTAAAGAGAGCAAAGCTAAGTCCAGTGAAATTCACATCCATGGATTCACCACTTAACCTGGTGTCCCAGTCTGCTGGTGAATTCAGAAAGTTTAGCATTAACTTTCTTGGGATGGTGGAGGGGTGGGGAGAGGGGAATGAAAGCATCAGCCATTTATTGGGGGAGGTGGGGCAGAAAGAAAGGTCAGTTGCAAGAGAAAGTACCAACCATTCATGAGACGAAGTGTGAAAGCCAAGTGTTGTTCTGTTCTCTTGGTTGAATTATAGGAGACCCAAGTAGGCTTTACTGCATCACTGCTGACATTCTGCACCCTGCAATATACACAATACAAAGTCTTGGGTAGATTCCTGTGACAATCTGGTTTATTACAGTCATTACACACTCACCTGGGGTAGCGACACTTTATGGTGACTGTCACTGGGTTGGTTCTTACAATGATGCCAGTTACAGTAGGCACATAATACAGATGTGTTGTGTATACAAGTTCATGAGGAGTCATCTGAAAATACGAACATTGGATTAAATGCTTGTAAAAAAATATTGGACTGCAAATTTACACAATTTTCTCCACAAAGAATACCCCCCCCAACCATCATCAGGTTTGTGTTCACCACAATCTTGTTTGCCCACAAAATAGTCAATCCACTTCACAGTAAATCCGATGAAGCACTTAGAGTATCTCATCACATCAGTTGTCTCAATCAAGTGCAAGGTGCCACATCAACAACAACTTGCATTTATACAGCGTCCTTCACATGGGGTAGAGTCAGTGGCGGAGTCTGACCCCGAGCCAGGGTGGGGGAGGTAACCGTAAGCACAATCAAAAAGGAAGGTCTTCAGGCAGGATTTGAAGTTGGGGAGGGAGGGGCAAGGTGAAGGGATTGAGGGAGAGAGTTCCCAAGTTTCAAGGTGCAGTGACCAAAGGCACAGCCACTGATGGAGTGCACAAGGGACAAACAGGAGGCCGGAGACAGACGAACAGAGGCAGTAGGTGGTGGAGTGGGGGGTAAGCAGGTCCGAGAGGTAGGGAGGTGCGAGGGAATGAAAACGAGCGAGAGGATCTTTAAGCCTTTTTGTTCAGTGAGTGGTAGGTAAACAGCAGTGTTTGGAGTAAGGAAACTTGCCTAAGGCTTCACCCCACCCAGAATCAAACCCAGGTCCTCTCGCTTGCGAGGCGAGTGCTCTAACTTGTCCCCATAATCGAAGCAAAATAAGGACCATTGCTCCTCTTGTAACGAAAGAGGAACATTCCCATTGGTATCACACACCGTTTGGATCATTATTACTTATGGAGGCAATTGCACCCCATCGGAAGCTCGTGGTCAGAAGCCCCCATCACACAGCAGGAGATGGTTTACCTGTACGGTGCTGCCACACTCGTGTAAGCCATACTCAAACACCACAGCCTGACCCTCCTGCTCCAGTCGGCTCACATTACAGCCCGCGGCTCCCAGCCTCAGCTCAGAGGCGCTGATGAGGCGATTGGTCCCAAAGAAGTCCCGGTTGGCCATCACCAGCAGCAGGTCCTCCCCACACTTCACCGAGACGGCCCGCGGGCCAGCTCGCTCCTGCTGAGAGGTGAGACAACAGCAACAGCTCAGTAACCCCACAAACCGCAGCCCCCACATCCTGCAGCTCCGACCCGACTCTCACACCGCGACCCTGTGCCTCCCTCCCGCAGCCGCGTTATAGCCGAACTGGACACAGCTGTCGCCTACACCGCTCCTCAACAAGCAGCTCGGGGTTTGCACGAGGTCCCGTGGCTCTCCCCCTGGAATTGGAGGGTTTGTGCCTTTTATTGATGAATGAGTTAATAAGCAAAACTGTGGCTCAGGTGTTTCTGAGCTGCAGTGAGATCAGGAAACCCAATAACGTGCTCCTCTGAGAGACAGACATCAGTGACAGAGAGGACTGTCACTCACTCCTCACCCCAAGGAGGGCCATTTCCACAAATGTGGTGCCCCCACTGCCAGAGAGATGATTAGGTTCATACCCTAATTGGCAGACACCGCACGGTTACACTCCACCCGGGCAAGGACATAAGCACCAGAGACATCAGCCTTCTCTAAGGTGGACCCACTAAACCCCAAGTCCACCCTCGGCAAAACAACAACAATTTCCATTTTCTCAGGTTTGGAAGGTGTTGGGTAAATTGCAGTTCCCTCTGCTACTACAGCCCAATATTAATAATAATAATCCTTGCCTTTGATATAGCACAGCATCACATCTTCTAGATGTCTCAAAGCACTTCACAGAATATACTGAAAGTGAATTGACTGTAGATTTTGTGGGTGAAACACGGCAGCCAATTGCGCACAGCAGTGTCCCCACAAACAGGTGGATTAAGTAATCACTTTTCTTTTTGCAGGGATTATTATCCCCAGAGTCAGTCCACTGACTAACAACTGGGTTCCTACTTACTGCTAGGTGAACAGAGGCACGTGGAATGAAGAAACTTGTCCAACATTGCTCCCTGCTGGGGATCAAACCCCGGTCCTCTCGCTTGTAAGGCGAGCACTCTAACCACTGAGCTACATGACTCCACAAGTGATTCAACTTCCTGGTGGTACAAGCTTGATAGGGTGAACGGCTTCCTTCTGTTCCTATATTCATGTGTGAGTGTTAGCAGCTGTGCCCCATCCTAACCTCAACCAATGTCCATCTACCAATTTCCACCAGAGTCTCTCTCTGTACCAAACAGGCAGATTGACTGATTTTCTCCAGCGTCAGTGGGATTTGAACCTGAAACCTGGGCTCCTGGGGAAAGCTTTCATTCCCATCTCATAGCCTCTGTTTACCTAGCGGTAAGTAGGAACCCATTTGTTACTTGATTGGTGGACCGCTTTTCTGGGTGTAAAAATCTGTTTGTGGGAGACTTGCAGACAAATTTATCTGGGGAATGTTGTACAGGCCACCAGGAAAACCTCCCTTCTCTTTTTGAGTAGTGCCTTGGGATCTTTAATGTCCCAGCTATCTGATGGACCTGTGTTTTCAGGGTGGCTACAGGATGGCTTGTGATGTGCCGGCTGCCTTGATGTTCTTGAGGTCCAAATCCAATGCGTGTACCGGGCTGACTCATTACCAGCTGCTTATATCAGGTTCTCATGTGAGTGGCCTTGGCACACTGTGAAGCCACCTCTGCCTCTAGGATGATCAATGACAGGCCGGAGCCCTCCCTGCCTGTAGCCGCTTCCCTTTTTTGCCACAAATGCATCTTGTGCTTGTCCTGGGCCTTGCAAATGGGTCGGAGGAAGCTTCTCCACTGTAACCCAGGAGATCAGATCTGCAGTGAATAGCAGGAGCTTATTCAGGATTGGTATCGAACCTGAACGCTCTTCACTCAATGGCCACCAGGTGGCAGAAGTGCCATTTTTAGAAATAAGAATTTTCTGGTGGAAGAAGACAAGGTCCATCTAATTTGCCTTCCCCCATCCTGGCAGTCAGTCGCTTGTCGTGTCCCAAACCATATACTGTAACCCATGAGAACATAAGAAGTTAATTTTCATGCATCAAGTTGAGTTTCTGCGTTTTAGATAATTATTTGGGGAGGACATGTTTGGAGGGTGATGGGGAGAGAGCGGGGGAGTGGGGTTGATCAGGGCTATGGGGAGAGAGTGGGGGAGTGGGGTTGATCAGGGCTATGGGGAGAGAGCGGGGGAGTGGGGTTGATCAGGGCTATGGGGAGAGCGCAGGGGAGTGGGGGTTGATTTGGAAGCTCTTTTCAAAGAGCGGCACAGACACGATGGGCTGAATGGCCTCCTCCTGTGCTGTATGATTCTATGGTTCTATGATTTTAAATGTTTAGCATTTACAGATCTGTATAAAGTGGAGTCCTATCGCTTAGAGCACTCACCTCACAAGTGAGAGGACCTGGGTTTGATTTCCGGGCAGGGTGAAACATTAGGCAAGTTTCCTTACTCCACACACCTCTGTTTACCAGCAGTGAGTAGAAACCCGATTGTTAGTCAATTGGAGGATAGCTTTGGGGTAATAATCCCTTCAAAATTTAAAAAGAATTTGGTCATTCGATCCACGACTGTTTGTGGGACGTCGCTGTGCGCAATTGGCTGCCACGTTTCACCCGAAAAATATAGTCTAAAAGACATTATAAGGCGCGATATCAAATGCAAGGATTGTTATAATTACTAACAATCCTCAACTGCTGTTATCTTAACTCAGCACTCTTGTTCCTTAGTCAGAAGCTTGTGGGTTCAAGCCCCACGTTGGGATTTAAGATCACCGTGGGCCGCACGACATTGTGAGGTGCCGTCCTTTGTATGAGACGGTCAACTGAGGTCTTATCTGACTGTTCACTATTTGAAAGAGATCAGAGGCCTGGCTCAAAATTCTCCAGATAAATTGATCATTCACTTCATGGCTGTTTGTGGAACATATCTGAGAACGAGTTGGCTGCTGGCAATCATTTGACAAGAGGAGAAGATTGCTCAACCTTGTTCTGGGCAATGAACCAGAGCAGATCAGGGGAGCATTTCAGGTGCAATGACCATAGTGTAATAAAGTTCAAAATGATTATAGAAAAGGAGATAGACAGGACTGAGGACCAGGGTTTTTGATTGGACCAAAAGCTAATTAGAACCGTATGAGGAACAAACTGGCCGAGGTAGACTGGAAGGAAAAATTAGTGAACAAAGATGTTGAGGTACAACAACAAATTACATTTACATAATGCCTTTCACGTCAGGAGGATGTCCCAAGGAGCTGGACAGTCAGGGATCCACATGTGAGCAGGTGGTTGGGATCAGGAGAGGTGGAGAGCGGGGAGGGTAGGGATAGGACAGTAACCGAAGGCAAGGTCGAAGAGGCGGGCCTTGAGCCAGGTCTTGAAGAGGGCAAGGGAGGGGGCGAAGTGGAGGGACTGTGGGATGGAGTTCCAGAGGGTGGGGCAGAGAGGCTGAAAGCCCGCCCGCAATGGTGGGGCAGGGGAGGCGAGGGACATGAAGCAGGCTGGAGCGTGCTGAGCAGAGAGAGAAGACAGGTTATTAGGGGGTTAGGAGGCCACAAAGGTAGGGGGTAGCGAGGCCATGGAGGGCTTTGAAGGTGAGGACCAGGATCTTGAACTGGATCCTCTGAGTGATGGGAAGCCAGTGGAGTTGGGCGAGGATAGGGCTAATATGGTCATGGAGCCTGATGTGAGAGAGGACACAGGATGATCTGCAGTCTGTGGAGGGAGGAGTTGGGGAGATGAACAAGCAGGGAGTTTGGGTAGTCGAGCCTGGATGTGATGAACACGTGGATGAGGGTCTTGACGGCCTGCGGTGAGAGACAGTTGTAGAGCCAGGCAATGTTACGGAGCTGGGGAAAGGCGGAGCGGGTCATGGCACGGATTTGGGGGGTGAAGGACAGTTGAGGGACAAACAGGACACCAAGGTTCTGTATTGGCTCTGTGAGGTGTATTTTCTAGCAGAAATCTATCTAATTTGTTCTTGAAACAAACAACGTTTGCACTGTCTCCCTAGGGATCCTATTCCATAGGGTCCCTGAGTAGAAAAAGGGATTGTACCAGAGGACTGGAGAACGGGCAATGTAATACCTATTTTAGAAAGGGTGCTAGAGCTAATCCAGGCAACTACAGGCCAGTCAGCTTAATGTCGGTTGTGGGTAAGGTTTTGGAATCATAAGAACATAAGAAATAGGGGCAGGAGTAGGCCATTCAGCCCCTCGAGCCTGCCCCGCCATTTAATACGGGCACTCGCCTTGCAAGTGAGAGACCTGAGTTCAATTCCAGGCAGAGGGCGAAACCTTGGGCAAGTTTCTTTACTCCACACAGAGCCTAATAATAATCCCTCCAAAACCAAAAACAATAATAAATTGGTCATTTTCAATCTACGACTGTTTGTGGGACATTGCTGTGCGCAATTGGCTGCCGCGTTCGCCCTCAAATTATTATTATAATAAGATCATGGCTGATCTCCTAACCTAATTTCATTTACCTGCACTATCCCCATGTCCCTTAATCCCTTTAGTTTTTAAAAATCTACTGATCTCAGTCTTGAATATGTTCAATGATTGACTAAGCATTCACAGATTTTAAGTGTTGTGCATTTTGTAGGTGTGCCAGTTTGCACACTAACATCCCACAAACATCCATGAAATCAAGGACCAATTCCATCTGGGGGATTGGTGTTCATGATATTGGGACAAAAACTGCCTTCTCTTTTCAAATAGTACCATGGGATCTCTCCTGCACCAGGCTCCATGATCCCATCTCCCCCATCTTCGCCCGGCTCCACTGGCTCCCTATCCCTCAGAGGCTATCAGAGGCTATTGAGAGAGAAAGAGTGTGTGAGAGGGAGAGAGAATGTGCATAACAGAGTGATGAAGAGAGAGAGAGAAATTGGGAGAGAGAGAGTGTGGGCATGGGGGAGAGAGAGAAACAGGAGTGAGAGAGAGCAGAGTGAGGGTAGCGTTTTGTGGTTCACTGTTGGGACATTGGTTTGAAGCTTCCAGGGGGGACTGAAGACAGTTCCAAGTGACATGCCATAATAATAATATTACTACTAATAATAATCCTTGCATTTGATATAACACCTTATCACATCTAAATGCATTGACTGTGTATTTTGTGGGCGAAACGTAGCGCACAGTAGTGTTACACAAACAGTCATGGATTGAGTGACCAAATTATCATGATTTTTTTTTGAAGGGATTATTGCCCCTGGAAAATCGATCTGCCAATTTACTAATAACCAGGTTCCTACTCACCGTTGGGCAAACGGGGGTGTGGCATAAGGAAACTTGCCTAATGTTTTGCCTTGCCCGGGAATCGAACTCTCGCTTGCGAGGTGAGTGCTCTAACCAGGACTCCACCATGCAGTTTCCTCACAACAATAACTTGCACTTATATAGCGCCCTCCACGTAGGGTAGCGTCTCAGAGCGTTCACAGCAAAGCTCCCTCTTTCCACAGTGAGAAACTCCTCCACTTCCTTCATTCCCCCGCCCCCCGGAGGTCTCCCGTCCTGGCTGATCCCTTTGTCCAGCAAACACTGGCTTGCTTCATATCCCCTACCCCATTTGCCCCAGTATTGCTATTTTGCCTCCACTCTCCGGAGTTCCATTCTTGGAGTCCCTCTGACTTGCTCTCTCCCTCTCCTCTTTCAAAGCACATCAAGACTCAACTCTTTGACTCATGCTTTCAGTCATCTTTTCCCCTCCCCATTCCACCTCCCTTGGCTCCCACCTCCAGCTCAGTTGCCTAGAGGGAGGTGTTGAGCTTTTTGAGATGTCCTTATAATAATAATAATCCTTGCATTTGATTTAGCTCTTTTCACGTCGGGAGGACGTCCCAAAGCGCTTCACAGAATATACTGTAAAGTGAATTGACTGTATATTTGTGGGTGAACGCGGCAGCCAATTGCGCACAGCAATGTCCCACAAACAGTCGTAGATCGAAAATGACCAATTTATTATTGTTTTTGGTTTTGGAGGGATTATTATTAGGCGCTGTGTGGAGTAAGGAAACTTGCCCAAGGTTTCGCTCTCTGCCTGGGATTGAACTCAGGTCTCTCGCTTGCAAAGCGAGTGCTCTAACCACTGAGCTACAGGACTTCCGAATGTGAATGTCCTTCCAATGTGAAGAGGGTTCTGTGAAAATGTAGTTATATTTCTGGAAGAGAAACAATAATATTGCTTATGCAGCCCACAGACCTTTCTCAAATAGGGCACCTGGCCCTCGACACACAAAAGCTTGGACCATCCAGACCTAGACTGAACTCAAAGTCTCAACTGTTGTTTGGTTACACAAGCTTCTGACTCGCTGGCAATTCCTCGGTGCCTGAGGTTTTAGACACTGGAACTCCCCGAATTGGTTACTTCATGGCCGTTTGTAGCATGTTTTTGTATGTACATTGGCTGCCAAGTTCACCTACAACATACAGTCACTGCACATTACTGTTCATCCTGCGAAGCGCTTTGATCGACTGCTGAGGCGAAAAGTGTTGTATGTAAGGATTCGTAGAATCTTAGACATTTACAACACAGAAGAAGGCCATTTGTCCATCAAGTCAGCATCAGCTCTCAGGGCAAGCTGTTCATTCAATCCCACTGCCTTGCCCTTTCTATCCCCACATCCCTTCAAGCTTCTAACCTTCATACATCTACTTCCCCTTAAAATCCACCATGGACTTTGCCTCAAGCAAAGGACCTGGATTTGATTCCCGGGCAGGGCGAAACGTTAGGCAAGTTTCCTTTCTCCACGCGCCTCTGTTTATCCAGTAGTAAGTAGTTAGTCGATTGGCAGATCACTTTTCCAGGGGTGATAATTCCTTCAAAAAAATACTAATTTGGTCACTCAATTCACAACTGTCTGTGGGATGCTACTGTGTGAATTGGCTGCCTCGTTTCGCCCACAAAATACACAGGCAATTCACTTCACAGTATATTCTGTGAAGCGCTTTGAGACGTCTCAAAGGCATCAAATTCAAGGATTATTTTTATTATTAAACCCTCTCATCATTTCACACACCTCCTATGAGGTCCTCCCTCCTCTCTGCTCTAGTGAAAGCAGACCCAGCTTCTCCAGTCTCTCGTCGTCCCTGGATGCAGTCACACAAACCTCCTCTGCCCCACCGCAAGGCGTTAATATCCTTCCAAGTGAGGTGCACACAGATCAGTGAAATCAGTTAATTGAATATCAGATAATTGAACAATTTGGTTTATTGAAAAGAATTTAGAGATCCCTAACTATTTGCAGGCCCAATCTAAGAATACAGGTTAATTGAATACCGGATACACGAATAATTAATTTATTTTATCGAATAATTCTCCCCGCAACCGTTCATATAAAACCAATCAATCTGAAGGCGGATAGAGACACAGTCCCTCATCACTCCTACAGTCCAGTGTAAACATCCTCTCCTCCCCTTTCTTCCAGTGTCCTGGCCAACAATCCCCCAAATAAAATTGGTCAATCACTCCATAGCTGTTTGTGGGACACTGCTTGTGAAAATCAGCTGCCACTTTCACCCACAAAATACAGAGTCACTGCACCTTACAGCATATCATCCTGAAGAGCTTCAAGACATCCTCATGACGTGAAAGGTACTATATTAAGTGTAAGGATACATTTCAAGATGGGTGGGATTAAGAGATCTGGAGAGAATTTGGGTTAAGTGGAGATTGTCAGGAAGCATTAGCTTGTTCACAAGATCATAATATGCCTGAGTCCTGTCACATACTCATTTGAGACAATGACCAAGGCTGTCTCTGTTCTGTGGGCAAGGTAGAGGCCAAACTAGAGGGACGTTTACTAGGAGTTGGTGGGAGAGGAAGTAACCGAGCTGGGAGGCAATGGCGGAGGAGATCTGTGTCCTTTTTGCATTTGGAGTTGGAGGTGAGAATAGAGGGAATGAGTGATGGAAGCCATGGGAATACATGGCCAAATTTTATTCAGAATGTGTATTCCAGCTCCAATATCTGTGAAAGGGTTGACACTGAGTCTATCCCTCTTGGAAGGGGGAGTGAGGGATGTCTGTCTTTATTTCATGTATTGATTAATGACTTATTGGATGGCATTGAGGGGGAAGGATTGGGTGTATCTGTTCCAGGCCAATTTGACAATCACAGTACGATTCTGTTTGCAGACAATTTTATGTTGCTGGTAAACTCACCTGGGGACCTTGTGCTCTGCACTCACCATCTGAGTGTGTCAGCCTGGTAGCGCTCTCACCTCTGAGTCAGAAGGTTGTGGGTTCAAGCCCCACGTCAAGATGCGGAATCATGTCGTCTAAGCTGAAATGTGTTGTGTTGTCAGAGGTGCCATCCTTCGGATGGAACATTAAACAGTTCCCGTCTGCCTGTTCAGGTGGACGTTAAAGATTCTGCGGCAATATGGGAAAAGAGAAGGGAGTTTCTCTCTCCCGGTGTGCTGGCCAACAATTCCCCAAGTAAAACTGTTGACTCGCTCCATGGCTGTTTTTGAGCTGCTACATTTCACCTACAAAATACACAGTAAAAATCCAATTTACAATATATTCTGTGAAGTGCTTTGAGATATCTAATTGATAAGGCGCTGTATAAAAATTCATATGAATATTTGTTTATAGTTATGAGGATAGAGGCTGTTTTCACTAGAAGGGAAAAGGTTACGATCTTAGCAAGCTCTTGAAAATTCTAAAAGATTTTAACAGGATAAATAAAGATTATTTCCGTTAGTTGGTGAATTAGGTAATGGGGAGAAGATTAGCTTTTTTGACAACGATAGTTATTAGTAAATAGAATGATTTACCACGGTTGGCTATAAAGTGGAGTCCTGTAGCTCAGTGGTTAGAGCACTCGCTTTGCAAGTGAGAGACCTGAGTTCAATTCCCGGCAGAAGGCGAAACCTTGGGCAAGTTTCCTTACTCCACACAGCGCCTAATAATAATCCCTCCAAAACCATAAACAATAATAAAATTGGTCATTTTCAATCTACGACTGTTTGTGGGACATTGCTGTTGCTTACGTCAATTGTTGCTGTGGCCGGCGTTTGCCACAAATTATTATTATTCATGTCAATTATCTTTACATGTTGTGTTTTTGTGAATGGCGTTCTTTTTTTTGGGACGTCTGTCCTGTACTCAGTGGTAGAGCACTGCAGTGAAGCCTAATAGGGCGATTCAAGTTCACTCCAAAGACCTATAATAAAAAACAAAATAAAATTGGTCATTTTCAATCTACGACTGTTTGTGGGACATTGCTGTACGCAATTGGCTGCCGCGTTTGCCCACAAATATACAGTCAATTCACTTTACAGTGTGTTCTGTGAAGCGCTTTGGGACGTCCTCCCGACGTGAAAAGCGCTATATCAAATGCAAGGATTATTATTGTAAAGTGCAATGATTCTTAGTATTATTACCTGGAATACTGGGCCACTCATTGGGACATGTTGGTGGATGCTCCCAAGTGCGGAGACAAAGTGTATGGCTTCCACCTGGCTGACATTCAGCTGCACGAAATTGGTGCTCAACCAGGCCTTGATACCCATCAAACAAGCTGAAAGGACATCAGAGGACTAGGAGTCGCAGCTGGAGGCGAAGTAGGTTTGGGTGTCATGTCCCATTCAGTGGGACATGTTGGTGGATGCTCCCATGTGTGGGAACAGGCCTCGGCACTGCTTGAGACAGGACCTCGAGGATGTTTATTGGAAGATCCATTGGGCATCGGTTACAATTCCTGATTGCTATCAGTATCTGGAGTTTTTGCAGACATGGGGTAAATTTCCACATAATAATAATAATAACCCTTACATTTGATATAGTGCTTTTCACGTCAGGAGGACGTCCCAAAGCGCTTCACAGAATATACTGTAAAGTGAATTGACTGTATATTTGTGGGCGAACGCGGCAACCAATAGCGCACAGCAATGTCCCACAAACATTCGTAGATTGAAAATGACCAATTTATTATTGTTTTTGGTTTTGGAGGGATTATTATTAGGCTCTGTGAGGAGTAAGGAAACTTGCCCAAGGTTTCGCCCTCTGCCTGGAATTGAACTCAGGTCTCTCACTGGCAAAGCGAGTGCTCTAACCACTGAGCTACAGGACTCCACATGTATGCGGATGACACCCAACTTTATCTCTCTACCTCCACCTCAACTCCAGGGCTACTGGCGTCCTGACCGACTGCCTGTCCGACATCAAGCCCTGGACGAGGGACACCTTTCTTCAACTGAACGTCAGCAAGACCAGGGCCCTCCTGATTGGCTCGCGCCAACACCTCCGCATCTCGGACACTGGCAGCATCAGCCTCCACGGCTGCACTCTCAACCTCACTAAGCCGGTCAGGAACCTGGGGGTCTTGTTTGACCCTGAACTGTCCTTTCTCCCCCACATCCGCACCATGATCGGCACTGCCTACCACCACCACCGCAACATTGCCAGACTCCGCCACGGCCTCACCCCTCAGACTGCCCAAACCCTCACCCACACCTTCATTACATCAAGGCTCGATTACGGAACTCCCTCCTCATCGGCCTTCCCAACTCCTCCCTTCACAAGCTGCAGATCATCCAAATAACCTCTGCAGCTCATGTATTCTCACGCACCAGGCTCTGCGACCCCATCACTCCCACCTTCGCCTGACTCCACTGGCTCCCCATCCCCCAGAGGATCGAATTCAAGATCCTCGTCCTCACTTTCAAGGCCATTCATGGCCTTGCCCCCTCTTACCTCTCTGATCTGCTGACTCCCTACCGATCTGCCCGCTCCTCTGTTCAGTGGGCTCCGGCTGTATCAATTGCAAGGATTATTATTATTTTTATTATTATTACTTTGCTCTTTGAAGTGCCTCAATCTGCGTGGTGCCGTGCAGTTGTGTAGTGGGGATGGGGAATGTTGGCAGGAGGATGTCAGCAGAGCTTCCCTGTCTTCTCTCTCCATATTTCCTCTTCATCTTTATCCGTGTGTCAGCCTGGGGCAGTGGTAGGGTTCTCATGTCTGAGCCAGAAGCTTATGGGTTCAAGCCTTATGTTGGGACTTAGAAGTCATATTGTCTAAACCAGAGGTGGGCAATTATTTTGGCTGGTGGGCCACTTCATGAGCTTTGGTAAGCTTCATGGGCCACAAACTTAATATAGATGCAAATGCTTAATAGTAGCTCAAAATCAAGTCTTACACTTGTACGTGCATAAAATAAAGTCTATATAATTGACATTCATTAAAATTAGGTTAAATAAAAACATCTCATTGAGCAGACATTTATTTGATATTTATTCATTTCACATATTGATGTGAATGTGAGAAGCTCACTCAATGGGAAGAATGAAAGCGCTGATGCGCGTTAACCAGACAATTGAAGTCAGGCATCGTCTCTGTTGTTGCACTGCGGAGTACTGCTGCAAGTGGTCATCGTTCATCACAGATCTATGTTTGATTCATTGAATTTCATCATAGAAAATGTCTCCTCACATATGTATATTGATCTAAATAGCACAAGCATCCTCCGGGCATGAGCCTTTATCTTTGGAAAGATATATTCACTAAGAGAGGCGTAAAACTGGGAAGCGGCACTGATTTTAATTGCTCCCCAAGCAGTGAATCACATTGTAGGTCTATAAGCTCGAGTTGGAGGTCAAATGGGGCTTTGTCAATATCAAATGAGAAAAGTGAAGAGACCAAAGGCAGGTCATTTTCAATCAAAATGAAATCCTAGAATTGGTGAGAAAATTCGGCATATAAGTCAAGTAGTGAAGAAATATACATTTTGGCTTTGATCGCAAACAGTAATCTGCTGTAAAGTTAGAAAGTGGGCGAACAGCCTGTTTCCTATCTCACGCGATAAAATAAATAATTTGGTCATAAATGACTTGACACTGTAATACAAATCGTGCACAAAGGCCCCCTTCCGTTGCAATTTTGAATTTAGTTCATTCAATGTGGCCCATGATATCAACGGCAATGCGAAATCAGAGAGCCAATTTGCATTATTCAGCTGTGGGAAATCCAAATCTTTTTGTTTCATATCCAAAAATAAGTCAATCTCTGTTCTCATTTCCCACACTCTTTTCAAGACCTTTCCTAAACTAAGCCAAATTACATTTGTGTGATACAGAACATCTGTGTGCTCGGATTCCAATTCCTCAAGCAGAGGGCAAATGTAGTTGATCACTTTCGTAATTTTGTCCCCGACATTGTTTTAGAACACTTTTACAGAGGACCTCTTGGCGGATAATGCAGTATAGAAAAACAATACTCTGTTCTGGATTTGTTTTTTTGACATGATCTTGAATTCTTTTCAGTAACCCAACATTTTTGCCTGTCAGATTTGGGCTTCCATCGGTGATCACATTCACCAATTCTTTCCACTCCACTCCTAATTTTAATACACACGTATTTACTACCTCCAAAAAGTCTTCTCCAATTGTCGTATCTTTCATTGGCTGCATTGATGCCAATTCTTCTGTGAGCTCAAAATGTCTGTTGATACCTCAAATTAAAATGATCAACTGGGCTGTGTCTTTGACATCACAACTCTCATCGGGCGCCAGTGAAAAACATGCAAAATTGCTCACAATAGTTCGCCTTGTCAAGCTAATGTTCTTGAACTGTTTTTCCTTGTCCGAGCATAAAATCGAGGCAGAGTCAAACATACATTCTTTTATAAATTCTCCTTCAGAGAATAGTTTGTTGTTCTTGGCGATTTTATGTGCAATTACGTAACTCACTCTTGTAATCTCATCCTGGGATGCAAATTGTTTTGTGAAAATGCTTTGCATTTTCACAAAACAATTTGCATCCCATCCATTTCAGTGAAAAGTATTGCCACGCGTGTTTGAAAATTTGCTGATCTGTACATTTCTGACGTCAACCGGATTCAACATTTAAGGGAGAGTGCGCACAACTAAGCCGTGTGATTGGCTGATGTTCCCGGTCAGATTCCAATGCAAAATTTGTCCGACTTTCTGGGACTGAACGAACTATAATATTTTCTATTGCGAGACACAATGACGGGCTGGATAGAATCATTTGCTGGCCAGATATGAGGTCCATGTTCAGGTGGATGTTAAAGATCCCATGGCACTATTCAAAGAGTTTCGGGACACTGGGAGTTTCTCTCCCCTCGTGCTCTGGCCAACAATCCACCAAGTAAAATTGGTCACTCACTTCATAGCTATTGGTGGGACCTGGCTGCTCCGTTTGCCCACAAAACACACAGTATATCGATGGAGAGCTTAGCGATGTCCTCCTGACGTGAAAAGCACTGTATCAAATGTAATAATAATAATCCTTGCATTTGATATAGCACTTTTCATGTCAGGAGGACGTCCCAAAGCGCTTCACAGAACACACTGTAAAGTGAATTGACTGTATATTTGTGGGCGAACGCGGCAGCCAATTGCGCACAGCAATGTCCCACAAACAGTCGTAGATTGAAAATGACCAATTTATTATTGTTTTTGGTTTTGGAGGATTATTATTAGGCTCTGTGTGGGGTAAGGAAACTTGCCCAAGGTTTCGCCCTGACCTGCCGGGGATTGAACTCAGGTCTCTCACTTGCAAAGCGAGTGCTCTAACCACAAAGCTACAGGACTCCACACAATTAAGATATCACAATGATCACTAAGCTTCAAGGGGGGGGCTGACCTCCTCCTGAGCTGTTGACCTCCGGCAAGTGCTCAGGTGCAGAGGCACAGATAGAGAACAGCTGGGAGGTAAAATGCTGAGCAATGTGCAAAAATAGTTAACAAGGCAGAACCTCAATATGCAGATAAGCAGAATCATGGGCCACAGAAACATGATCATCAGTAACATCAAATCTTTAGGTCTCTGGCTTGAATCCTCTTCGTCCAGCATGGTCATTAATAGTTATCTCCTCTGCAGCTCTGTACACTCCCTTATGTGTTGCACCATCTTATAATAATCAGTGCTTCGCGGGATATCCTGTTAATAGAATGCAATTTTAGAATAGAATGTATATTTTGTTGGAAAACGCGGCAGCCAATTGCACACAGCAAAGCAGTGCACAAACAGTCGTAGATTGAGCGACCAAATTATTTTTATTTTTTTAATTAATTTATTTTATTGAGAGGGATTATTACCCCTAGAAAGTGACCCGCCAATCGACGAACAAGCGGGTGCCTACTTGCTGCTAGGGAAACAGAGGTGTGCGGAGTGAGGAAACTCGCCTAAGGTTTCATTCACCCTGCCCGGGAATTGAACCTGGATCCTCTCGTTCTAACCAATGCACTACAGGACTGATATAGCAGTAGGGTGAATATATGTTTCTTGGGTTTGTTCGAAGGTACAGGCAGGAGTTCGGCCAGCAGCAGAATGAACCATTGTGTTGAGCCTGGCAGGCAGTAATGTTAATGCTGTTTTGAGCTGATAACAGCGTGGAATCAACGGACCAAATTGGAATCCTCAGCAGTTTGTTTGCTTTCTCATATCATTGCCATTCTTCTGTTATTTCCTTTTGCTTTTTTCCGATGTTGTGGGATTTGCTGGAAGCTTGAGGTTAAGTTGAGATGGAACGGCTCGAGTCACAAAA